CGCATGGACGGACGGATGATTAAAACCGGTACCCGCCCAGCCCACTTCCACATGTAAAGTGACGGTGAACACGTTCTGTGCCGCATTCGTACGGCCACCAAGCGTCCGTCTTTGTGCTTCGGGGCTGGGAGATGCCGTTTGGCACCTGGAAGCTCTGCTAAGTGCAAGGCCAAGGCCCCAAGTGACACTGAAAGCAGCATTTCTCTGTTCAACACCGAAGGGACGCGGAGGCGTGAAGCCGTTCTGGAAAACAGAAACGGAACAGGCGTCGGGTGTCCAAACTGCCCCGCGAGATGGACCGTGTGCCGGCAGGGAGACTGCTGTGCGTAGGTTCCAGAATGCGGGTTCCTAACGGCTGTGAATACTCAAACTGGTGCTTTAAACATCCCCTCTCTTTCCTTTAATGGTTAAAACTCCTGGACTGGAGGAAAATTATGGTCAACTCTCAATGGGCAATTTTCATCGGGCTTCTTTTTTCTCATTATTAGCCATATTTTGTTGTTTTTTTCCAGTGTCTCCCTACCTAGTGCCAGACTTCTCTGCTTCCGTAACTTCAGCCAACAGATGACCCTTTCTGCTCAAGGAGGTGCATGCATGCGTCCGTGTCGGATTCTGCTGCCTCCCCCTTTCCTAACTCCCCTATACATTTCCAGACTGACCAACGCTGACCCACAGGTCGGGAGCCTACGAAGCTTCTTCAGAAAACATCTTCCTCTCCTTACCCCCAACTCCTGAGTATATAATCCGCCGCCCCTCACAACCGTGGCGGCGGCCCTTTCTGCCCACGGGTCCTGTCCTGTCCCCGAGCTTTAATAAAATCACTATTTTGCACCAAAGATGTCTCAAGAATTTTCTCTTGGCCATCGGCTCTGGACCTCACCCCACCACACCGCCTACATTCCAAAACCATATCATCAGGACAATAATTAGATGTAAACAGGAAAGTTTGAAAGGCTTATGGAAAAGGAATCTTTGGGAGGGAGTGCCTGGTGGTCCCTACTTGCTAAAATGAAGATCAATTTAAGTAAGTCAAGGAGTTACAGTGTCGAAAGCACACGGGGGGTACATTTTCTCTGTTAAAGAACAAAGTTTTCCTGAACTATTGGTCTGCCGTTAATGAAAAATTACAAATGGAAGTTTTTCTTTGCCTTGAAAATTATCCCCCTTTCCCCCATACAAAGGACTCTATGTTTCGGCAACATAGTTTCCTGTTTCCCATGTCTGTGACCACTTATGGACCGTGAGTGTCAGTTTTAGAAGAGCCGCCCTGTGCTCCCAGCTGTAGGAAAGGTCTTGCGTTTGCCTTCGACATCTTTATGTCCCTGTGGTGAAATGAACACCTGATACGGGTTCATAATGACTTGTAATCCTAATAAAATGCTCAAACCTTTTAATGTCCTGTTTGCAAAGACTTCCTAAAATCAAGTCCTAAAATAAAGTCTTTTGGGGGACACCCGGCTGACTCAGAAGAGCATGTGACTTTGGATCTCAGGGTTGTGAGTTCGAGCTCTGCATGGGGGGTGCTTACTTAAAATGAATAAATAAATAGGGGCTTCTGGGTGGCTCAGTCGGTGAAGCGTCTGCCTTCGGCTCAGGTCATGATCTCGGGGTCCTGGAATCAAGCCCCACAGCAGGCTCCCTGCTCAGTGGGGAACCTGCTTCTCCCTCACCCTCTGCCTGCTTGGGTGTGCGCTGTCTCAAATAACTACATAAAATCTTTTTTTTTTTAAGATTTTATTTGTTTATTTGACAGAGAGAGAGAGAGAGAGAGAGAGAGAGCGGGCTATAGAAGGAACACAAGCAAGGGGAGTGGGAGAGGGAGAAGCAGGCTTCCCATGGAGCAGGGAGACCCATGTGGGGCTCGATCCCAGGACCCTGAGTCGAAGGCAGACGCTTAAACACTGAGCCACTGAAGTGCCCCTAAAATCTTTAAAAAATATAAATAAGTAAATAAAGTTACACCCCAATATCATTCTTAAAAAGTATGGAATAAAGTGTTTTTACCACGATCTAACTGAAGTCTTCCAGAGAGTTTGTGGAACATTTCAAAGATTTTTTTTTTCTTTTGAGAAATTAAGCCAGTCAGGCATATTTGGTGTGTGAGATAAGTGGAAGCGCCCTCGGACAGGTGGTATGCGACACTCTGAGGATGCACTGCATAGACGTGTGGTTAAAACGAGTGTTTTCAGAATCGTACGAAACTCCCAGAAGCCCGATGTCCTGGGATGTTGGTATCTTGGAGTGCTCCGAGTCACGGAAGTCACCAAATTCCTCCGTCACGTTGTCCTGAGCTCTCACCAGATCTGCGACCAAGGGCATGTGTTGTCCCTTCTGTCATTCACAGACTGTCCTACTTCCACTCAGACGCCTTGAGGCAGCCGCGTTCCGCCTTCCGTGGGCACAGGTTGCTAAACACGGGGATCATAAAGCTGAGCTGGGTAAAAATTTCCAGAAGTGGCGGAAATGCTGTATCCGAGCAGAATGGGAACCAGTGACCCGGGGCTGACTGAACCGAGCAGTACTGCTCTAATTTTTATGACTTTCTGCTGACTTTTAATACGTGTTTACGTGTTTTGTTTTTCCAGATTTAAGATGACTTTTTATCTTCAGCAGACTGACAGCAAGTTGACAACTTTTCCTTTGTGAGCACATGAAACACTTCCCTCCGCACCGCACCTGCTCCCTCCAGTTCAGCTTCGTCCCTTGGCAACAGGACGCGGCTGGGAAACTGGTGACGGGTCACTCCCGTTGCTGCGCTTTGGTCAGTGATCAGGCCAGGTGTCCTCAAAACTAGGCTTATTTTGTCAACACACTGATGTTAACTGGAATATCGCTGGTGACCGCGAGGGTGACTGTAGACGGTAGAAATCTGCCTGTGCCGCTGTTCGTGGTGAGCTGGGCGGAACCGACTTCCTCGGCATCCGCTGCCGCCTGGCTACGGGTCTGCAGCTGGTCATCGTTTTCTCACCGTTCTGACTTAGAGTCATTTCAGAATAAAAACTGCCGTCTTCCCGGAAGCCTGGCCAACGGAACACAGGCCACCGCGATTAACACGGTGATGATGACGGCGCGCCGGAACTCATACCCCTGCAACCGCTCGCATTTGTGATGTAGAAGTTAGACGTCTACGTTAAGCGTGGAAGGTGACTTTTTCACAATTTTTTCAGGGGACGTGGGAGCAGAGAAGTTTGATGACCATGGCTTTAGAAGTGGCCCTGTTTCCGGGGAGGGAAGGCGAGAGCAGGGGTCAGGTGCGCAGTCATCACATCACCCACCGAGGCCCCTTCCGTTTCCCACTGCGCTTTCCTTGGACCCTTGACTCCACCTTGGGGCTTCCAGGGGCAGCCGACCCCACCTCATCTGTGGCCATCACGGGCTGGTCTACAGATAGGCTTCTGGCCGCTTACACGTGGGGGTCCTCCGAGTGATGGCACCTGCTACGAGGTCCCTCGTGGAGAGGGAAAACCAGGTTGCGGGAGGAAACATGTTTCCTTAAACATTTCCCAGTAATTGCATATAAAGAGTTCAGAGGCTTATTAAAAAAAAAAAGTGTAAGTTTCGGCGAGATTGCAGGATGTGCCAAGACACAAAAATTGTCATATTTCTATACTAGCAGTAACAAGTGAAATTTAATAGCAAGTGCCATAGCATAACACAGGACCATTCAGGGATATATGACAAAAGAAGGGCAAGCCTTGCTTGCTGAAAACTACGAAACTTTTCCAAGAGAAGAAACAACATCTAAATAAAGGTGCACGGGCTGCCTTTGTGGGTCGGAAGCCCAGATGGGCAGCTCGTTTTGGGGTTTCCCAGGAAGGGGGCCTGAGGAGCTGCGGTCCGCATGGGGAGGACAGGTGTGGCGTGGGAACCCGGCGCGAGGGGCTTTGCAATCGCGGTCTCCGTGGGGGAAGCAGTGCTGCTCGTTCCCTTGTTCCCCTCCAGGGGCCGCGCGTGGTCAGCATTCGCTGAATAAACGAGCCTGTCAAAGCGAAGGAAAGGCCAGCAGCTCTGCGTCCCGGAGGAAAGCTAGAGAGAGAATGCGTCTCCCCAGCGCAGACAGAGCAGGGGCCCCGGGGCACTCCCATGCGGCAGAGAGCCGGGGGCAGGGGGGTGCCAGATGTCATCATGGGAAGGGGGCTCAGGGGGTCCTGATGGAGGCCGGGGTGGGGAACTACAGCAGGGGTCCTCGGGCTGGCTAGGAGCATTTTGGCTTTCTCCGGTTGGTCCTGAGCCGGAGGCAGGCACAGGAAGCGGGGAAACCCTGGGTGACTGGGCAGCGGCTGGCCCTTCGGGGCTCATTCGTAGGGGTGACGTGTGGCTTCCTGGACCAGTCGCTCTAGACCCTGGGCTGACTTCCTGAGAGTCGGACTGGTAGCAGACTGGCTTTCTGACTGGCCACTCAGGTGAGGGTCGCGACCGTGGGCGGGTCACTCCGGTGAGGGTCGGGACTGGTGGGCGGTCTCTGCAGGTGAGGGTCGCGACCGTGGGCGGGTCACTCCGGTGAGGGTCGGGACTGGTGGGCGGTCTCTGCAGGTGA